ACTGATATCTAGGCCTGAATTTAAAAGCATCTTAAGGAACACGGTGAAGGACACACGGACATTTTTCTGAGAGTCCCAGTAGTGTTTTTGTTGTATATTATGTTGCAAAACCTTCATTTTATGTTGTTTTTGTTGCATTTGTTGAGTTTGTATGGCTGCTACCTTGGTCAGGTCTCCCCTGTAAGGGAAACTGGATCTCAGTGGGATTTTCAGTTTAAATAAAGGTAAATAAATCTAGACTGGCAGTGAGATGAAGAGAGAAAAACAGGTAAACCCCTTTTTTTAAATAGAGCTGGGACAACAAGGACTCCGCTATATTAATGCAGGTCTTGGTCCTAGTTACAGGTGTAACAGGTGTCTAAAGTGTTTCATGTATTTGCTTTATTAGGGTATTAATAAGTAATTCAGTGGAATATTCAAAACAGCCCACAATCAATCAAGGCCTTTCACACAGGTATTTTCAGTCACTCTCACTGATTAGACTCTATTCAGGTTTAATTCAGCCAGCGCTCTTGAGAATTATACATCACAGCTGCATATAGGAGTAAAATGGCAAAGGTGCAGTTTCTCCCTAACAAGTACAGAGAAGCTGACAGCAGAGGGAGTGGGCTGTCACATGAATCACATGGGACTGAGAACGGGTCTAATCAGGCAATAAGTGAAATCAGCTGTGTCGGCAAACTCTTGAGTACAACGTGAAAAAAGTTTCCTCAGCTGATGTTTGAAGCTTGATCAAATGCTTCAAGTAATTTGACTTAAAAAAAAGTCAAGGGGTGGTGTGGAGTTGCAAAGAGGTGAACTACTGGACCACTGCAGCCTGCTTTTCTTGTAAAATGAATCCTGAAAGACTCAAAAGCAAGTTTTTAAACTTCCCATGCTTGTCTTTAGATATTCTTTTTTTTGCTAACTGGTGCTAAACACAAAGTTCGACTCATCAAATTCAACTCAACCTTTAACAAATGAGAATGTGTGTCCCTCCTTCTCGTGGCCAGTAGATGGCAGCAGCCCGCATTAAAGTCGGGGTCTTTACACTCGCAAAGATGCACACAGAGTATTTGCCATCTAACCATCTTTCCCATGATGTCATAGCCAACAGCCAGCATGGGAATATCTGTCACATTCACTTTGTTTCCTATTGCCTCCCAGCTCTCTCTATCTCTCTCGCCTTCTCTCTGCTGCACACTCTTTTCAAGAAATTCATGGCATTTTGAGTTTCCTCTGAGTGTTTCCTGCATGTGGGGTGTTTGCAGTGGCATTGAGTGCTTGGCCATTTCTCCTCCATCTCTCCCTCTATCCATTTGTCTTTTAAAAGCAGCCTCTTCCTCCTCAGGTAAAGACAGACATAGGGGAAGAGGAAGGGAAAGAGGTGGAGGGGATTTTAAAATGCCCAACAGAAGGACAACTTCCAACCCACCCATCGCTCCATCACCTCCTCTTCCACCTCCACCGAGACCACCTCTTCGTTCACGCCGCAAATCCAAATCGCCTTCCTCTCGTTCTAACCACATAACTCCAAAACGAGCCTTGGATTTGGACAAAATTGAGCACAGCTGTGACGCAGAAGACGCCAGGCCAACCTGCAGAGGGTCCCTTGACCTGCGAGGCCATCATGGTTCAGAGCTAGACAGGAAATGGGAAGGTGTGGCTTTAGAGCTGCGGTGCCGAGGCAGCAGGATGAGGTCAGCAGTGTACCAGACTTCAGAGCTGCCCTCCATGTACAAAGCCAAGAGACAAGTGGAGCACAGTGAGGGCAAAGGGCAGATCGACCGGAGCAAACTGAAAGCAACTTTTGTTTAAGGAGCCCAGCGTTTGGCTGGTTCACAGACTGTCTGTGTCCGTCATTGTCTGTGACTCACACCATGCGGATGTTCTCTACAGCAGCTGAAATATTGTCTCAGTTTGAAAGTGGAGGCTAAGGGCCCAGTGTCAACAACTGTGCAGCTGCTCTCAGACCTCCCTACTGAGGGCTGCTATTAGTGGATGGCAGCCTGAGATTAATCAAAGCTGTGTCCCAATTCCATACTGTGTGCTCATACACAGCATTTACAGCACAGCGGTGGCTATATGCTCACACTGCAGATGTACTAAAGCACAAATACTTATTTCACACTTTTTTCCCACATATCAAATGCCAATATTTTTTCCACTGGCAGCTTTTGGTTGTGGTTTGATTACAAGTATTCACATAAAGCTTTTGATCGTTTTAATGACAATGCATTGTAGAATATAAAGAAGTTGCAATTTAAAATTATTGCTGACTCATTAATACACGATTATCTCAGTGTGCAGTACAAAAAAGTATGAATCCTTAACAGCTACATGGGCTGAACATTGATACTAATGTCACCCTACAGGCTCTAGATGACACTTAGTGGTCATAATTTAGCTATTATGCCAAACAGACTGTTTTTAAAAGATGGATTTAGCTTCTGCGCCTAAAAAGAGAAACCAGTGCAGATGTGTCTTACATTTGCATTCTTTCTAACGGCCAGCAGGGGGATGCAAAAGAAGCCCAGTTGTATATAATATATGTAACAAAAAATGATCCTATAGCTCGCTGAATTTATGGCCTCAAACACTTTTTTGATTTGATTTGCAAATTTCATAAACCCATATTTTATTCACAGTAGAAGATAAAAATATATCAATATTTATTTATATTTATAGTCAGAAAATATTAGCTCATTTTGAATTTGATGAAAAGAGCACTGATACTTTACAGACCTGAGTTTCTTACAATTGTACTTTTTCTCAGTTTAATGATTTAATGCTCTGCTGTGGAAAAAAATGATTTAGGAGATTTGCAGATCATTGTATTCTGTTTTTATTTACATTTTACACAGTTAGTTACACAATAACTTGAAATTGGGGTTCCAAATAGAGATAAATAGAGAATTAAGGCAGAGTATCCTCCAGGCTACCTCATGATATGAGCTGCAGTGTCCTTGCCTCTTAGTCAGAACCACTTGCTCACTGCATCTCCTAAAAAAAATAAAAATAAATAAAAACTGATGGCACAGGTCCAAATACAAATGGAAGTTAACAAACCATTGTGAGCCTCCATAGTGGCTACATCCATTTACTGTGTTGCCACATAATATTTTGCTAGGTAAACTTTGGTTTGATAAAGAGCTGAAAAACGGCTTTCTTTTTTATAATCAGGATTTTGGGATCTTTCCAACAGGACAGATGAATAACAAGATAATAAACAAACAAAAAAATCAACAATAGACAAAAAAAATCTTCTTTTAAACATTAGTATGATAATTTCACAATCGTATGTACAAAAATAAGACATAAATGATAAAGCTGAGCAATGAATCAGTTCCAACAACAATAATTATTCAAGCGTCAGAAATATGTTGTTTCGTAAAGTTTAAAAGTCGACCTTCTAAAGTGAAAGTTTGGCTAATGTGATGATTTCCTGATTTCTTTGATGCTATCTAAAGAAAACTCATGATAGGGCTGAAGGGCGGCACATGTTGAAATGTATTCTGATTTTTAGTCCCCAGTGAGTCACAGTCTGCAAACATTTCAGACTACATTTCCTACAATGCAGCTTTAGATAACATCATCCAATTATTTACTCAGACTTCACCAAGCTCCTCTAGAGCTCCAGAGGAAAAAAACTTTACAGATGACAAACTAACCACGGTGAGTGATCGTGTTCATTTGTATAATTTTAAAAATAAATAAATTGGGTGCCATTAAAAAAAAAAAAAGAGAAAACCCTAACATCACAAAAAGCACTCAGAGATAACAAGTCTCCACCAAGGCAGTTATAAAGGGAATAGTGTTGTGTTTTATATATATTACTTTAGTTTTTTGTTCTTTTTAAACACTCTTTAAGAAATGTACAGTACAGTAAAAATAATGCATTTTGGGGTGAACATGAGAGAAATGCACATGTGTAATATGTAAATGGGGTCAGGTGTTAAATGTGCTAAAGTTAGATGCATACTAAAATATACCCAGTATAATTTCCTAAATGCTGCTGATACAAACAAAGGCAGTACAACACTGAGAATAGTGATAAAGATAAAAGATAAAAGTTTGACCTCTTCTTTGAGGTCCAAAGTAACATGAGATTTAGTAACATCAGTAACATGAGACTATATTATTCCTTTTACTCAGTTTTCAGTACAATCAGTGGCAGTAATAAACACAGTTTATAGTTTGTTTAAAAAAATATTATTATTAATTCTTTGACCTTTAAATCAGTCTTTTGATACCAAAGGAGAGGTTAGAGGTCAAATTTGACATACTGTAAAAAGGTACTTTTGGTAAGCCACAATATGATGACAATACACACCTGTAAGAATCTTAGCTTCTGAGTTATAAAGCTTTTTGCCAATTTTTCGACCAATCAGTAAGTTGACCTTGAAGACCTTGGTGGATGTAAGCCAAACTGTAACGAAGTATTAACATGACCCCACTTCAGAGTTCATTCAAAACTTTTCGAGCTATAGTGTTTACAGACAGATGATGACAGGCACGGATGCAGGCAAACTACCAAAAAACTAAACTTAACAACAACAACAACAACAAAAAAAACACGACCTCCTCGGAGGAGGCAATTAGGATGCCTAAGGATAAATAAATGTAAGTTGTTGTTCTGGCACCAGCAGTGTGGTTCACCTGTTGTTAGCCGGGCAAATAGCATCATTGATCCTCAGAGGTCAATAGCAGTGGAAGAAGACTGAATACCAGACAGAGCATGCTGCTCTAAGAAAAGAGTGAACCCCGTAAAACCTGCAGTTTGTAAAGTGAAACATGCTGAAATTAACGGCAACAATTTTCCACATTTAGCTCAAACCCTTACAAAAACATGTTCTTAACATTTAAAATTGTGTTTTAAATATGAAAAGTTACAAATATTTTACTAAATGTCGTTAAAAAATGACTTGAAAAAAGATGTTTTTGTAAGGTTTTGAGCTAAATATGGAAATATGTTGCTTTTAATTTCAGCATGTTTCACTTAACAAACGGCGCCCCATAGACACCCCCACCCCCCACAAACACCTTTATTCCAGGAATAATGGCGCTATAATAATTAATTTAGAGTATTTTGTTTTCAGATTTGAAACTATTTGAGCATTTAATGTCTTTTAATTGGCATTATTCTCCAGAAAGCCTTATGGATTAATTTTGGATTTCCTCAGTTAGGGTTTAGGCTCTACAGATTAGCGTCGAGGCAACACTAATCCCTGTCTGATACCGGACTGAGGGAGAGTTAAGTGAAAGGTGCGCAGACTGTGCTTTTAATCGAATGAACTCCACTGTAAACAATACTTGATGCAGAGGAACAACTGGACTAACTTGGCAGAGGGCGACGACGGAGGAGGCCGTGTCTCTCACTGCCTCGGTGGTCTGATGGCGCAGGAGGCAGGGTGCAGTCTGCCGGCGGGGGCCCGGACTCCAAAGGCTATTTTGAAAAGTGAGCCCCTGTACGCACGCACACACATACGCACACGCAGCTGCTCGAAACCATGACAGAAGATGACGGACACAGTTGTCGCGGAGGGACAAGTCAAGTTTAGAGATGGAAAAAAGGTTAATTCCACATATTTGCGTCTCATTTTTCACTTTAAATGTGCTCCCATGCCTCTAGGCCAAATACAGGAATCTCCTTTGTGATTTACTTCTTTCCAAACTTCTTCACAGTGGAAGACTCGGTGGGTCGTTCTTCGGAAGCCCTCTCCGGTCGCAGGTTCGTGTCTTTTTTGGCTTCACTTAATTCCCACCCAGATTTTAACATTTCCACGGTGACACTACGATCTGTTGATTGATTCGTGTAACGATGCACTAATCTCTTTGATTTTCCTCCACTTAAACTGATACCAACTTGTCAGTTGGTCTCTTGGCTGTGCGCCACTGAGCGCGTAACGCAACGTATCCGCGTAAACACGTGCGGACATTGTGCAATGCATCAGGTCAATCGATCGAGTGAAGGTATTTTCTGTAATTGATCAGAAAAAATTTGAGTCTGGATATTAAATCCTGGAGGGGGACTTTTGGTGCCAGTTCGAATTAGGGTTAATAATTTGAAAACCTCCCAGTCAAAATCATAAACTGTCACAGTGCATTGTCTTCTCTGTAGCTTGCCATGACTGGGGGCGCATGTCTTGAAATCTAAACAGAGATTAATTTGAGATGCTGTGGAGACAGACATAGATCCTCTGAGCATACAAAAACATATGGCCCAGTGCGCTGCTGCTCTGTCCCTGGAAGAAAAAAATGGCAAGAGTGGTGGGAATAATGGGCAACTCTGCTCTGTACCCTGTGACTGTGCTTGTGTGTGTCAAAACCTGTGTGAGCTTGTGGCTCGCTTTCATTATAAGCTGGATCAATTCATTGTTTTAGGGTTTGTTATGACAGCTGTGCCATAGTAGACAGCAGGCATGCAGCAGGGATTACAACAAGTGACACTTGTATTATTCTGCTATTAAACACGAAATGTACTTTTGACTCTGTCGGCCTGTAATGTTTTTCTCCGCACGTGGTCAGACTGCCTGTCCTTGCTGGTGTATAAGAAGAAAGGGAAGGAGAAGGGCAGCGGCCACAAGGAGAGGCTGAATGTAACACTGGAGGTAAGTTAAGCAGCAGAACAAAGCCTGGCTGTCTCTGATCTCAAGTGCAGGTGCTCTGTACTGGTAGCAGCTCTTTAGTAGTTCTCCTTCACATAAATAAGCCTTTCTAAGCTACAGCTTTTAGGAGACTGCTGTCTCTTCTAGGTACTATAATGTAAATGCCACATGGATAGATAAGGGTAAAGTGGGTTTTGGAGTAAGCTGCTCAAATAGTCAAAAGGGAACTAAAGATGAATTGGGGCACTTTCTGAAAATACCCAATAGGGATGACTCATACTTATTTATCCTCTATATATTAAAAAATAAAAGCAACTTCAAAGTGCACATCATCAGTATCTGAATGAACTCTTTTGTAGAAACAATGTGATCTCATCAGTAAACTGACACCAAATGAACCGGAGGTTTACACACGCTCTTGTAAAATAAACAAGCTGTTTTCTCTGAATCGAGATCTCACTCGTTGATATTACAAATTTTTTTGAGCTTTGGTGTCATGTCACCAAAAAGCTAGAAAAGTATTACACCTGTTGTCAGAATTTCATCTATCTGACCTGAGTTACTCCAGACTAGATCTGTTCCATCTCCATTCAATTTCTAAGGAGCATATCAGTAGTAAAACGCAAACTCTACCTTTGGTTTACTCTGCTTCTTCAGGGGATCTGTGGCGTGGAGCCAGGGCTCGGATACGATGGCGTGTCCTACACCCTCTCCATCCTTTGCTTGGCACACATGCTGGTCCTTGGGTTCAACAACCGGGACACCCTGCTGGCCTGGGATGCCCGCATCCGCTACAGCTTGGGAGAAGGTCAGTGGTTTGGCCTTGTGTAGGTGTAGCATTCTCTAAGTAGAATAGAAGCTCTAGTAGTTGTAGTTATTGTCTCATGACTGCTCATAAGAGTATTTTCCTTGATCTCTGTTGATCTGACCAGAAGCTTACTTTTAATAAAAAATGTGTGGAGAGGCAGAAATTTCAGCAGATTCTACAGACTTAATTGACTTATTGTCATTATTCACTGTTCAAATACTCCTTTTTAAAAATTTAGAGCATTGTATTCTTTCTTATCTACTGAATTGAATTGAATTTCTCACACTGCAAACAGTAAACCTTGAAAGTGATCCTCTGTGTGTAAACTTGCGTAAATACATCCCAATTTCCTCATTATAAGGGATATTGAAAAGTAAAGCAATGATAGAAATATATCACCGGTACAGTTTAAAAGGAAAACAAAAACTAATCCAGCCGAACATTTCAAACAGCCATAAATACAAGTGTTTAATCTATTATTTAAAACTCTCAGTTATATCTTAGTAGTTGGCCTAAATCGTCCCGCTGAGAACTTTCAGAAACACTCTGATCCTGTCCAATGTTTCTCCTAAACTAGTCTTATTAACCATCACCAATATTAATAACTTATTGAAGCTCGGGTCTAATTTTGAACAGCCATGCTGTGAGATGAACTGATATTTCTTTTGAGCAGCACCAGCTGGTCCTATCACTGCTTATATTTCTAAACATTTCTCTGAACATGCAATTTATCCTCCTCCTCCTAAAATATCACCTTCAGGATATTTATAAATGTCCATCTTGTTCCTTAATGTTATTATCCACAAGCATTCTGATCCTCCACCACTACGTAGAAGTCACACAGTGTTATCTACCTTTGAAATCCACAAATGGCTGGTTCTTGATTTGCCTTTTAGGTTGTAATGTCACAGAGCATTTTTTTTTTTGCCAGTCTAAGTATTAAGATTAAATCTTAGAAATATTTTGGGTTAGCATCACTCAATAAAACTGAGCACTTTTGTTTTCTGGAAACTATCTCACCTCAATTTACACTGCGGTTTAAGCTGCCAGTTTTTTAAAATTATTATTTTTATTATTTTGCTTTTGCCTGTAAAGCTCCCTTCTGTTTCACATTATTTCATCATTGGAGTATTTAGCTCCTCTCAAAGCCTCAAAGCCTGCTTGTTGCTCTAGCTCTTCGCTCAGGGCGACAAAGTGAGCTTGATCTATTACGTCTTTACATAATATTTCTTTGAAAGTGTTTTTTTTTTTATAGATTTTTAGATGATTTATTTCATGCTTAGTCACCTACACTGTGAAGGATAATTCCTATCATTTACTTGGCTCTTTCACTCCCATGCTTGTACTCTGTATGTGGCACTGTGCAGTACATGGCTTTGAGAGGGAGAGGCAGTCCTTGGCACCGCACTGGGGCCATCTGCACAAACTGGGCAATGACAAATTGCAGCCTGCCAGGCTTAAAAAACTGCTCAATCATTATTGCCACAGTCATCAGTTACGTGGTGCATATGTGTTTATGCACGTGTGTGTTTTTATGCTCCACCTCATTTGTTACGTGATGGATGTGCTGCACGATCAGTGGCACTTTAGTTGTCTGCAGCCTAAGTGATTCGAAGCCATCATGATTGCATGGCCATGAAACGCTCTTTTCAAATGTCTGTCTTTCTTCTCCCTGCCAGTTCACAGGTTTAGCGTCAACGTTGAACCAGGTACCAAACTGGAAAGCGGTCCTGCGTCACTCCACCTGTGCAACAACTTGCTGGTCCTCACCAGAGGCCTCCCTCCCGTCGTCGTTGGCCACTGGAAGTTGTCGGCGTTACGTCGCTACGGTGCTGTGCCAAATGGCTTCGTGTTCGAGGGAGGGACTCGGTGTGGATATTGTAAGTATCTGGTGGACTGAGAAGCTTTAATTTATTTAGCCCTACAGCCTGCACCCAGAAATGAAACACTCTGACATTACCAAGTGAAAAATCATCACTCGCAGTGCCCTACTACATCACGTCCTTTGATGTTATTATTTGTTATGTTTTAGTGGATTATGTCAGATCAGAGATTACAAAACTTCAATGCGATGTGAGTCCCTCAGAATCAAAGACCTTTATATGTTCAGTCAGGTGAAATCTGACATTGTCGACACATAGACATGAAAGGGCTTGTACGATGACAAAACAGGCCCACATTTATAAAGTGTTCTGGAGCTTTTGATCATGTTACATGACCTTCCTCAGCAGATGAAACTTCCCCTTTTGCCATGAAATTACAGATGTTTTTCTTCTTTTTCTCCATTCTTGACGTATTAGCCTAAGCTGAAAAGTTCATTTTGGAAACTGTAGTTGAGAAAACAGTTTCACTGTTCATTCAGTTGCTGTTGCGCTCATTGCTTTCAATCATATTCTATTGCAGTAATTTAAAGCTCCAAAAGAACTACTAAATGAACTGACAGTCCATTTAATACGTTTTTAAAAAATTTTTTAAATATAAAATCATACAAGGTGTGAGCTCGAATGACCACAGAGAAAACTGTGCCTGGTTAATCACAGATTGTGCTCGTCCTCTAGAGACAACCCGAGTATATTCACGGAAATTCAAGGTCTCACTCACTCAAGTGGAAATTGCACACTGAAGGACGCAACAGAAGAAAGTCACCGCCCGTGAGAATGCATTCAGCCACCAAAGACAGATGTTCATCTTAACAATACTTGAAGCTCAACTTTAAAATCTAACCAACCGTTCTTTAGTTAATTCTTTGGTCCAGAAACAGTTGATAGAGTGCACAATCACAGCAGCAGTTCCACTTTTAAAAAGGTCTTTACTTAGGTTAATATAACCTCCTTTAAAGTTTGCTTCAGTGCTCACGGGTTAATAGAGCTGTCACACTAATGCTAACACACCTTTGCAAAAACGTGATTTATTATAAGTGTTTATAGCGTAACTATATCCACTTTCTATGTATGAACCCTCCACACTGCCCACCTGCCCACCAAATAATGGCATGTATGTGTGTGTTTGTGTTGTTGCCAGGGTTTAGATATCCTCTGAATGTCCAGCTCATGTGGGCATGAATGTAAAGAATGACTGGCAGCTTTATGTTTTTAGGTGGGATGTGTGTGTGTGTGTGAATTGGAGAGGGAGGGGGCAGATACATGGACAAAGGTGATAATGGAACCTGTTTGAAGTTTTCAAGTTGCTGTCACCCAGGTATCTGGAAATACAAGATTTAATTTTTCATTTAGTTAGAACTCTTTGTCCTTGTACGCTGCTTTGCGATTGTCTGTGTTTTTGAGTGTGTGTGTGTGTGTGTACAAGAATAACCACAAGGTCTGGTTTCAGTGTTCTGATGAGCAACATCTATAAATACCAGTCACTCCCCTGTAGTGGACACTCAGCCAGTCACAAATTCCCTGGTGGCTGCATGTCCAATCATAGTTTCCCCCTTCATCTGATCTGCATATTACCCAGCAGTCACAGGGGCAGTAGGAAGAGACTCTCTTGGCATAGCACGAGAAGCGGAAAGATGTGAGAGTCGAGTAGGCAACTGACATTCCTTGCATGAGTGCAAGGTAAAGCGGAGTGTTAGTTTACATTTTCACATGTTTATTTGTAGTTGGTGAGTACATGTGACACGTCCACACCGAGCAGTAGTTTTGTGGAGTGCAGGCTTTCAACATTTCGCATCTAACTCTACCAGAAACCTCGCCAGAGCTAATCTATAGAGGCTATAATGAAAACTGACATTTTTTTGCAAAATGAACATCATATTTTTGGGCCATGCCTTGTTCTCTGTAGATCCTCTTGTAAATGCTCTCATGAAACTGGAAACAATGCTTTCTAAATAAGCCAGAAGAGCCACACTTTAACGTCAACGAAGGAAGAGTGGTACAGTGGTTAGCATTCTCATATCTAGTGTCAGTGTCACTGCTGGTAGCATGAGGCGACACCTACAGATGTTGCACAGGCAATCCAGCTCCTCCAGGATGGCACATCAATACGTGCTACTGCCAGAAGGTTTGTCTCCCAACACAGTCTCAAGAGCATGGAGGAGATTTTAGGAGAGAGGCTGGAGATCTGTCAGAATACTAAAAAAAGACCTTCAGTGGCCCTCTGGTGTGAATGTCTCTGACAAGACCATCCAGGACCAAACTTCGCCTGTCGCCTGAGGGCCCGACATCCTCTATGGGCCCTGCACCTACTGGCTAGCACTACTGGAACTGGCAGGTCTACCACTGGGACCCTGTGCTTTTCACATATTAGGTTCTCCTTGTGAACACATGACAGGCCTGAAAAGGTCTGGAGAAGCCATGGAGAATGTTATGCTGCTTATAACATTTTGTTGGTCACAGACCTCTACAGGCTAGAGAATGGCACACTGACTGCCAGGTATCAGGATGTGGTCCTTGGACTTACTGACAGAGCATACAGTGCTGCATCATGATCCACAACAGGGCCCGGCCTCTTGTGTCAAGAGTGCAACTTTTCCTGGATGTTGAGGAAATGAATACCATTAGTCCCTGGCCCACACCTGCCTGAACTAAATCCATTTGAACACCTCTGGGAAATTATGTTTTCATTGTTGCCAGGCATGCATACAAGCATGTGGGGGGCATACAAACCAGGCAAAATGGCCTAGCCTGCTGAATCTTTTTTCACTTTGAATTCAGCACTCTGCAGGCCGACAAATTTAATATCCATCAAATGACGTGGTATTTTTTCGTTCCTAACACATTACCCAGTCCATATCAGTATAAGTATCCAGCATGATATTTTTCCCAGTTGAGATCTAAAGTGTTTTCAAACTGTTCCCTGAATTTTGCTCAAGTTGTGTGTTTTCTGCTGCAAATATTGTGCGATTCCTTTACCACTCTCTGCTTGGGGATACTTGGTAATAAAATATGAGTGTATTTAGCTCTACTCGAGTTATCAGTCTCATTAAATCTGTTCAGTAAGCAGAGGAAATTATACTGTTTATCACTCCGCTTTTAATCATGGACAATCTTATGATCTCTATTCATCATTGGAAAAATCACAGCGCTCTTTCACAGACCAGCAATTTTGTGTGGTCCTCTTTGTAAATTTTAAAGGTTCCCAGAAGATTATTATAACTATAATGAGACTAACAGTTCTGTGGCCCTTTTTGGCTGCAGAAAGCTGGTAGAACTGCTCTTGCTCTTGTCAAGTCCTGCAGTACTTTCTGCTGCATCTGCATTTTCAAAGTCGGCTTCAGAATTAAAGACATGCACTGTAGTAATGATGACAAGCCTTTTTAGTGTCATGGGCACTAATCATGCACACTCCCCCGATAGCCAACAGACCAGGCGGTCCTTTGGGATAGCAGTAATCAGTAATCAGGTCTTCACGGTTGCCCGTTGGGTGTGTGCCTTGGGTTGTAGAGTCACATGCATGCACTTTGTAGCAGTGTAAAGTGATATCAGAGCCCCTTCTATTAGATGTGATAATGAGGCCACTGTGTTCTGTAACTGATGATGTTTGGAAGAGAGCCTGCATCTTAGCTGGATGGATATTTCCTGGCTTATCAGGGCCGCACATGTTCACGGCGACCTGGTTACACAGAAACTCACGCACATCCACACACGCGTCTTTATGCACACATGCAGAGACGTAAATGACGCTCCGCAGAGTTTGGATCGCCGTCAAGTCCTGTGATCCAGATAAAAGCAATTTTAAGCTCACATGCTATGTCAGCAATTGTTCAGTGCCTCTCAGTGGGTAATGGCACACCCACCCCGATCTTGTAGTATGTTAATGCACGTGTTACAGCATTTTTCTTTCGTGTCGTACATTGCACACTTTTTTCCATCCTTTAGTTTATTCCCTGTTCTCTTGATGAAAGGGCATTTTAAAAGTAAATCTAACTTTAGCAACTCTCTTGTCTTTTGATAAAGTGTCAAGTGATCCACAGAGGTTAAAATGTCTCTTGCTGTCTCAATCTGTCATTAGAAATGATTTTTTTCTCTTGAAGTGAAACAGTCAAAGCCATCGGGCATCCTTCAGTAGACTGGGTGTTGGATCAAAACCAAACAATGAAAATCCAGCAGATATTAAAAACAGACTGACTGACTGGACAAGTCTTCTTAAAATAGTTTTTAGTTAGTTTAGATGAACACAAATCCCCTGCACACAGGAATGGTTTTTTTCTTGTTTTCAGTGGAAAACGCCGCCGCAACAAGCAAATGAAAACCTGTTTCTTTGAAGATGAATTGTCATACAGCAGAGTTTTGTAAATTTGTGAGAAATAAATGAGAAGTAGGTACAAAAAGGTCTCATCGCTACAACAGCCCCAGAGATAATTGCAGAAAAAAAGAGTTTATTTCAAACTAACATATACCAGTTCCTCTGACTGCTACGATGTGTCTTCTTTGTTTAAAGGGGGGCTAATATTATGCTAATTTCCACCTCTGTATTTTTTTTGTATGATTCATAGGTCTAATAGCTCTCACTCTCTCTCACACACATACACACTTTTTTAGCAAAGTGCTTGCTTTCATAGGTCTTGTGGTGGAAAACTGACTGAAGCAGTGTGTCGCTATCACGCTGTTCCACTGACTCAGGGAAAATGCAACACATAATTCAGCTAATGCATTTCCATTACATTTAATGTTCAGTGGTGATATAAACGAGAAACTCTTTTCAATTATTCAGTCTGAGGAGCCACACGGTCATCTGAAAGCATATTGTACCAGCGCTCCTTATTTATTAAAGGAGGGGGCACAATTTCTTTGTGACATTTGGGTTTTTCCTTTAAGAAAATTACTACTATTGAAAATACATTTAAAAGACTGAGTGGCATTATTTAGGACTGAATGATGTTATCATGCCAATAGATTGTGTGATCAATTTTCTGTTTGGGATTCTGAGCTGCTTTTATATTAACAGCAAACTCAGTTTCATACGTTTGTTTTCTTTCTTAGCCAAAACCCTGAGTAATGCCTTGATTTATGGCTGTTTCCCCCCCCCTAAATGTTTGTAGCGTGAAGTTTTGATGTTTCATTATTATTATTTTTTTTACTTATTTTTCCCTTCCTTTTGTTTTCACTGACATCCACCTCTGTGTGGGTTTTATAGGAGAGTGGGAGCTTGAATTGATAGACATTTTATGTAACCTTTAAAAAATAGCTTTGCCTTCACAGCAGGCTTCTGAACCACAGTGAATATTATTTGGCCTTGTTTAAAAATGTTTCACTCAATATTTCAGCAATTTACTACAGCAGTTTTCTCACTCCTGCTGTCTGTTATATTATTTATTAAACTGCTTTTTATGGTATACACATTATCTCCTCTTCGCTTGTCCAGGGGCTGGTGTTTTCTTCTTGTCCTGTTCAGAAGGAGAGCAGATCAGTTTCCTATTCGACTGCATCGTCAGGGGCATCAACCCCAGCAGGGCACCACATGGCCTGCAACCTGACCTGCCAGGTAAAAACACTTAGAAACTGCAAACAGAACACAAGTGAAATTTGTCAGGAATATGTTTACAAAAGTGTGCAAGTTAAAAAATGTAGGTAAAAGATGGACAGGCTGTGGTGATAAGACTGTGGACAGCTGTTGTGGTGGTGATGTGTTTTACTTTAGTCCTTAATAGTCCCACATTTTCAGAGGATCAGAAATAATCAGTCTGTTTGTGTAATTTTATATATGAGCCCGAAAGCGATGCCAGTATAAGCTGGGATAGCTAGGAAGCTATTATTTCCATGTTTAGAAGAACAACTTCACAACTTCCAAACAAGTCAAGGACACTTGACTCGGTTTGTGACTTCCATGAAAAGATTTACCGCCTGTTTCCTGCACATGTTTAACATTTGTGTCAGGCGCCACAGTAACAGAAACACCACATGCTTTATGCCCCCAAGACTCATGCTGTAGATTAAGGGTGTCATTCCTTTGTGTGTGACTTGTGCTTTACTGTAATATATTTCTAATTCCACAGTAATTTTTGCTCCAGGAACTGAATAGAGAGTTTGAATAAACATTACCTTAGCATCAACGTGTAATTTTTACAGTTTGTAGTGAAATGAACATTGACACAGCATTGCACATTAGCTAGCATTACTACACTTTTTCTGCATTCAAACTTAAAATAGTATCTGTCTTTTTTCACCCGGACCCATTTTCCCCCAGTCATCCATCATACTGGAAGTCTCTGAAGAATTATTTATATCTCACATGTCAGTAAGCACAGCGCTGTACTGAAGTTTTATACCACTGAGGACAAATATCAGTCCTAAGACTTGTTCTTCTTTAACAGCAAGGGCTTTGCCAGCTTACTAGGACAGGTTTTTATCTGCGTTAACATTTGCATACTGAATCTATGCTTTTCCTCATATTCTCTGCCTGTTGTTGTTTCATTTCTTTGTGTATTCCCTCTTTAGATTAGCTGAATTATGTGAAATCATAGCCAGGAATAATAAATATTCTTGAACTCATGCATAAGACAAACAAACAAAACAGAAGAGCCAGTGATAAAAACATTGCTCCATAGCCCCAGTACTGTTCAGTAGCTCCAGAGGATACCTTTAAATATAGTGTTTAGGTAGGTCTATACATTTCTGAACAGTGACAAAAGTTGGAAACTATGTATAAGAATGACTCGTGAAAATGTCTGTGTAGGTTCTCAGTCATCAAGGTCACGGCAGTACAAAGAGCCTGGAAAGAAAGAGACTGGACTTCTCTAAGTTTCTTTTTCCTTTCCAAGCTCCTTATACTCATGAAAATGATAAATGCAGTACTGTTCAGCTAAAGCTGCAAATTCTGCACTTTAAGCCCACATTCATTACATAACTTTATGCGCTACATATTTTATTTTTAGCTTACTATAAATCTATATTTAAAGATAAACATTGCAAGTGCAAATACTGGTATTGGAGTAAAACATGTGTACAGACAAACTAGGACTAGATCAAACAAAACCAGGGCAAATAGCTGTGTGAATGCGTTGAATGTCTGGGTCAACCAGTTTGACAGGAATGGGGGAAAAATGAATTCCAGGTTGGAAATAAACCAAAGTTTATTCCAGCATTAACCAGCCTGCGTCATCAGCTATGAGGCCCACTGTAACCCCACTGTGACATTCAGTGCTGAGAACTGGCTATAATTAGTCAAGTAGCTACGTTAGCAAATGTTAGCTGACACCTCACATAGTGTAGTGAAGAAACTTGGCATCTACATATTAGCATTAGCTGCTGGAGTCCAGGGAGTAGAGTTCCAGGTGTTAGGTTGTTGACACCTATACAAGCACCCACTGACCCACTGCAATGTGCGGACACTGGCGCGCACACACACTGGTGCGCACACACAAACAGGAGCCATGCTGCCCCTCTAACACTCACTCACCTCTACAGTATGTATATATAGCAGGAATTAGGAGTGTAATTAGCAAGGTTTTACACAAAATTAGTGTTGTAACAGATTGTCGAGGCGCCTATAGCGTCCTCGGGAGATGTTAAATTTACAAGCTGTTGAAAGAATTAGATGGACACACACACACATGCACACACACTCATATTTTAAAGAGCAGTCTGATAAATGCAGCAGATGTCTTACAACTTTAGTTTTGATTTTATACATTTTGTATTTTGATCACAGCAGCATCTGAAATATACTCTAACACAATGAAACACTTTATTATTGTGCTTAAAAAAAAGTCAAATGTCAATGGCCTGGTGTTTTATTCTGCAATTTAACTTCATGTGAAACTAAAAGCACACCCCACCATTCAGTAGAACCACCTTTCGTAGTAGTAACTTGAAGTATAATTTTCATGAACTTATTAAATCATCTCATTGTTGTGGACGAATTTCGGCCATGTCTTCTTTACAGTGCCGGTAGATTGAGGTTTGTAGGTGTGTCCTACCTTTCCGCCCTGTTTCTGCTCCCATCCCGATTTTTAGATTTGTTGCTGTCATCAACTTAAAAGCAAAAACAAAAACAATGAGCTAACATTTTTCATTAAATAGTAAAATGTCTCAGATTTCTGTGTTGTAAAGTATGGCTTAATGAGATTTGCAAATAACTGTTCATTCAATTATTTATTTACGTAGCAGATCCCAGTGCCGATCCAGCTTCAGCAGAGGAACGAATCAACCTCGAGGCATCAGTGCTGGAGAAAAGACTGAGCATGTTGTCTCAGTGCAGCTTAGCAAGCAGCACAGGTACGTTATTTTCTAAAGTTCACCTCAGCTTATACAGCCAACACATAACTCTTTTCATAATGTTTCATAAGGAAAAATTGCATCATCTGAGGACCTTCAGATGTTTCTGTGAACTATGGATCTCTTTCACGTTGTTGCTCCGTGCATATTTGGACCGCTGACCTGACCACACAGTCGTTTAATCCCTGCTCTATATTCATGCTGCTATTTCGGGATTTTCATCGTAATTATGTGTGTACATATGTGAATGTCAGTATAGTCAGAGCAGATGATTCATGTCTGCTGAGAGTTAGTGAAATAAATATTTCCTTTTCCTGCCTGCACTGATTAGCAGCACCTGTTAATGACCTGTACTGTAATTAATGAGCAGATGATTGAACACTGACTTCACAGAGTTGTAATAATTTGCCCACAGCACCAAGTTGAAGGTGTGATTTATATATTATTGATTAAACATCACTATCTGCAGTTTAACTTGGCGTTTGGTGCTTACAATCTGATTTATTTCAGTGTGTGTCTCACTTATTACTCATTACAGTCAATTACCTTTCTCTCCCTCTTCAGCCTCCTCTTACAGCTGCAGTACATCTGTTGCTGGAGATGACCACAGCAGTATTTCCAGCTCTTCCTCCAGTCAATCAGATGCGAGCTATGGAAGCAGACTTCCAGTGTGGGCGGAGCCATTAGGCAGACTGCACCTCTCCAGTGAGACAGCTTCAAGCTCTTCCACGCTGAAAGCACTGGCCAGTTCAGATGACCGGCTTTATTCTGCTGTTTTGGGAGGCTCCAGGAGCCATCCCTCCTCCACCCACATCCATCCTCGCGGTCTCCATGACAGCGGGCGGCAGAGTTCATTAGACAGTGGGATTGGGATAGCAACAGGCAGCCACTCTTCTTACTCAGGGAGCTATTCCTCATGTACGGGGAGTCTGGACATGGCCAGCGGGGGAGTAGGGGAGGAATTTGGCTCGGTGGCCAGCCTTCCTCCTGCTCCTTCTTTTCCTTCCTCACCTCCTTCTGCACCACCCCCAACTCCTCCTTCTTCTCCTTTTCAACCCATGCTTATCCCAGAGGGGAACACAGCCTCCTGTTCCTGCTCCTCCAGATCTGCATCTCGTACATCTCGAAGGCATAGTGAAGAATACCGGATTCCCAGTCTGCTTAGACTGTGGTATGATACCCCCAGGAGTCTGCTCCGAGCTCAACCTCAAAAGAAGCCATGGTCCCACGGAGCCCAGTCTGAGCTCAGCAAAGACAATAAGAGCAGTGGAGATGGAGGTGATGGTCAGGGACAAGGAGGAGTGATGGCTCAGCGTCAAGCCATGATGCAGCGCTCACACTCCTGGGGTAGCGAGAGGGCGCCCTCTGTGGACAGTGAGGGGAGGGCCACACCCAGACCCTTGTTGGTCCCTGGAGGCTTGTTTAATGCAGAAAAGCAGGTACAGGGAGGGTCACAGTGTTTCACTCCCTCATTCTCTTCTCTCTGCTGTTTCCATAAAGAAACAAAACAAATGAAATACTAATAATTACTAATCATTAAGTTAAATACTCTTGCTAATCATGCTATACTTTGCCCCCACTAATGCAAATCTCCATAACTCACTAAATAAACCCACTATGGCATATTTCTATTCTTATGCTATTAAAAGAGATCTTATGTAACTCTCCTGTGTAAATGGGCAAGAACGTGCTCCCAAGTAGAGTTTGGAAGTTATGGGAATAGGAAAGAGAGCAAGATGACTACAAGTGATATTCCTGAAAATCTGGGAGTTGTTGTCAAAAATATTTAGTTCTACTAGAGTTGAGGTGAAATTAGTAGAAAATAAATCATTCCCTGTCTAATAAAAGAAAACCTTCTGTGTTCAAACCCCTATTTGTGTGAAAGTACTGAAACATTATTATAAATTTGCATTTAAAGAAGTATAGTCAATCATTTTGCAGAATAAGACCCCAAGTTACTAAAATACAACACAAAAATATGACTCACCAGATTTTTTCCTGCTTTCAAAGAGACATTTTAATGTCATCATGTCTGGAAAACATAAACAATTTCATCATGTAGTTTTTTTTTTTTTTTTATTTCAGCTTCATTTGTATTTTTATTTATCTTTCAACGGTAAAAGAATCCTCAGAAAACTTCCTGGATCAACATCAAGTAAAGGTGAATCAAATCTGTCTGTAACTTAAAAAACAGACAAATCAACCACCTTAGTGCAGCAAATAAGCCTGAATCACACCCCTCAAAGGTTCAAAAACACTGGTTTTATTAATAAAATCTATAATGTTCTATTTTATGCTCTTTAATTAAAATAAAAATAAACCACAGCTGTTAATGCTGTGATATATATGCAACATCTGCAGAAAAAAGTTAAACTATTGTATTTACATCCACCTATCAATAATTCTATGTAGACCGAATACTCCAATTATCTATTTAGTATTTTTTCTCTTTAATGTCAGAAATTCTGTTGCTAGTAAAATCAAGAGGAAAAATATTTAAGAGCTTGGATTAAAACAGAAACTTGCAGTGGAAGTTAGTTGAAAGTGGAACACCAACACCTGCTAAAATATACCCTTAAACAGTAATTTGGTGACTTTTTTAGTGGGTTTTCTTTTTAAATTAATAGCACCAGAGATCTCAACTTAAGTCTATTTTAATAAGTCTATGGTCTATTTTCCTAAAGCACTTTTCCTCTGTTTGCCCTCTGCTTCACAGTATTACATAACCCTGCAGTGTTTGCAACTGATGCAGCAGCGCTTCAAGCAGCAATTATCTGGCCTTTTCACATAGACACCACTACTTGCTTTGGAACTAATGACTAACTTGGGTGGCTGCTTTTGTAATTGTGATTTACAGTACAGTCAATGCTTTAAAGGATCATTAGGAAGCTGAAAAAACTGTGGAGGGGAGAAAAAATCTGCTAGAGGAGCAGAAAAGTAGGAAGAATGAATTTCTCTATAAAATATTCTGTTCTGTGATTCAAGCTGAGGCACTCTAGCATTGCAAACCCTTATCGATGTATCACAGGGCTTTAGGGACAAAACTTTTTTCCTTTCATTTGTTTTAAAATGTGATTTCTTTTTCGCTTCGTTCTGTTCTACAGTGCGGTGCTTTTCTGCACTTGCAGCATGCTTCCTGTGTCTCTTCCATATGGGCAGTTTAGGGTCCAAATGATTTTAGATGCCTTTGGCCTGAAAACCACAGGGTGAGGAACCATGGTGAGAAGACTTAGAAACAGGCAGAAGTATGTGTGAACCAAAGCCAGGTTCTTCTCACTGTGAGGTGACAGTTCCACCCGCTGAGCCACTCAATCGCCCATATAGGTAAACAAAATCAGTGTGGGTGTCTGTCGCACACCTGTCTTGAGCTGGCGTTGTTTTTGATTTTCATACTTTTGTCTGAAACCTCAAATGCTCTCAGAAGAGACTTTCCCACATTGTGTGTAATTAATTTTTTGATGGGTTGTGAAAAGCGCTTCCCCCTTGTAACAGGCAAATTATCATCAGAACAGGAGAGGAAACAGCATGTCTTGTGATTTCTGACAGGTTGTGTAGGAGTGTGTGTGTGTTCATTATACAGCGTGCATGCTGCAGAGAGTGAGAGGGAGCAAAGGGGACTGCAAAAGTTAATAAGTAGTGATGAAACTGGCTGAAATCCTCAGAGAGGAGAATCCCACTGTGTGAAACACAAATGAGTTTTCCTTATTTTCATTCCTCAAGAGTTGGTGGTTCAGTGTAGCAGAAACGCAGTGTCCTTCATGTTTGGTAATGGTTAGAATACCTAAATTCTAGGGGTGCAACGATACTCGTATCGATATTGAACCGTTCGATACAGTGCTTTCGGTTCGGTACGCATATGTATCGAACAATACAAAATTTGTAATTTATTTTATCAACTTTCCTTCTGACGATGCTGTCTGTGTTGAGCGCTCAGTGAATCTGCGTTCGACTACTCCGCCTAGGCTGCACTGTCGAGCGCAGATCCACTGAGCGCTCAACACAGACAGCATCGTCAGAAGGAAGAGCGCAGGGCAAGCTAGCGAGACAGAAGTTAAGCTCTCCTTGCAACATGGCAAATTGAACCTCCCCCACCCTCATTCAGATCTGGCGTTTGGAATTATTTTGGTTTTCATGTGACGTATGACCCTGAAGGTAAGCGCGTCATGGACTAAAGTAAAACAGTATGTTGGATGTGCCACGCAATGCTCAATTACATGGGTGGGAACTAGTGTGTTAGCGCAGTTAGCTCGTTAACGTGTTGGCCGTCTAGCCCCACGCAGGGGTAGCTCGTTAACGGAGATTTGCCGTGTTGTGGCGTTAACGTCATTTCAACGAGATTAACGCTGACAGCACTAGTGGGAACACAACGAATATGACTGCACATTTACGCCGACATCATCCTAGTGCAAAGACAAGTGGAAGCAGACAAAAACAACAAGCATGCATGCTACAAACTTTACCCGAGTCATTTAGACAGCCGTTAGCACATGATTCTCCTTATGGGGACCTGATATGTTTAATATTGTGGCGAGCTCAGACAAGGAGGAGACGGAGGTGTCGTTTGGTCTTGCTTCCCGTGAGCTAGCCAGGGAGCACAGCCGTTTATTGACATCTGCAGAAGAACACTGCCGCTAGCTAACTGCTCAGCGCGGCAACCGCACAGCAACAACAACACACAGAGCGCCCTCTGACCCCGGAAGGACACACCGTCGCAGCGAGAAGGCGTCACCCGTCACTATGGCAACATAAACAAAACATAACTGTACAAACAGAACCCCGAACAGCCCTGACCCGCTACATAGTCCCCGACGACCCCATTACCCCACACAAAGTCCTGCAAATGTCCAGGTGCCTTCTTTTGGCGCACCGGCCGGTCACGACCGGCGGGGAAAAGTCACTCGGGTCAGAACATGGGGTGCCACCATCATCCCACTTCTGACACCAATGTGGCGAGCTCAGACAAGGAGGAGACGGAGGTGTCGTTTGGTCTTGCTTCCCGTGAGCTAGCCAGGGAGCACAGCCGTTTATTGACATCTGCAGAAGAACACTGCCGCTAGCTAACTGCTCAGCGCGGCAACCGCACAGCAACAACAACAACACACAGGGCGCCCTCTGACCCCGGAAGGACACACCGTCGCAGCGAGAGGGCGTCACCCGTCACTATGGCAACATAAACAAAACATAACTGTACAAACAGAACCCCGAACAGCCCTGACCCGCTACAATATGCTGCTGAGAATATAGCCCAGAAGAAGCGTATAGTATAGCTTTTATTTTGGAAAGAGCCATTTCTCTGTAATAAACTCTCTTTTCCAAAGATGAGTGATTCCTCAATCAGATACAGGTGTTACCGCGCCAGATCCGCGGCCCCGAACCGTAGTAAGGAAACCTCTGGCAGTTACTTGAAGGTTCCGTAACTGACTCGTAGCCGGCAACAGCTTACTATACAGGTCAACTCCGCTAGCAAAAAGATCGAAGGAGGCGTAGGAAACTGCTTCACCAGAACTTTATTTCTTCCTCTAAGGCACTAACACCCTTACAGTGCTAAACATGTTTACTCACATCGACATCTCCACACAACTCTCTGTCTGAGGGAGTTATATATTCCTTTTATTTATTTTCTTTTGTCTCTTCTTACTAAACTCGTTACTTTTTTCCCCTTCTCCTCTCTCTCTTTCACACACACACCAGGCATGTCCCGCTACACACATCCCAATACATTCCCATCATGCTTCATCCTTAAAGCCATTCCTTAACACATCTTGCAAAATCGTTTTTCCATTCTGGGTACCAAAATCTATCTCTGTCCCTGCCCGTCTGGCTATTTTATAATGAAAAATATATTTCAATCTTTTCATTCTTTACGAATTACTTGGGTAATTATTCATTTGGCATCGTGAGCCACTGTCAATATGGACATATTTAAATCTGCTTTGAATTTGCCTTTTTTCTTTATTTGCATGTCCCAATGGTATCCTTTCTTTTGCGCATCCTGCGTCACACCGCTGGGAAAATCACTCGGTCAGAAATTGGGTGCCACCATCATCCCACTTCTACACCAATTGCATGCTCATGACAAAGAAACTGAGTTCGTTTGTCTCTTCCTCTGACTACCAATCACACCTTTATACATCTGCAGAAGAACACTCCGCTATGCTAAACTCTCTCACTGCTGCAACCTCGCACATGCAACAACAACACACCACATGGCTGCCCTCTTGACCCCTGAATGACACACCTCGCATCATAGGCGCACCCTTTCACTATTGGCAACATAAAACAAAACATAACTTACAAACAGAACCCCGAACAGCCCTGACCCTGATAGTTCAATATCTGCTGAGATATAGCCCAGAAGAAGCGTATAGTATAGCTTTTATTTTGGAAAGAGCCATTTCTCTGTAATAAACTCTCTTTTCCAAAGATGAGTGATTTCCTCGAATCAGATTTATTTTTTTATTACTTTGTTGTTTCAGCAACATTAAATTTAAAAACTGTACTTTTGAGTTAAAATATATATTTATAAGTTTAATAAATGACAAATTAAAAAGGCATGAACATTTTTTTTGTATCGAAAAAATATCGAACCGTGACACCAAAGTATCGAACCGAACCGAACCGTGAATTTTGTGTATCGTTGCACCCCTACTAAATTCACGTGTACCATCATGTCTGTTGAGACAGACTGTATGATGGATAATATCTGTGAAACTCCAGCCTGCTGTGTTATTAGCTGCTGAGGAGAGGAGTCTGAGCCAGCTATCCTTTAGTCTGCCTCTAAAGATGTCAGCTCTAACCTCTCAGCTCTGCAGCTTTTTTTCCTCTTCACCTCTTGTTCTCTGTTCCCCCTTTTCCTAAGTCTTTCTCCAAACCAGTTTATTTTCAAGCCTCTTTGGCTATAGCTATTTTGCCTCCCTCCTCTGCATCCCCTTTCTCTGTACCTTAAAATCATGCCTTTTTCCTGAATTTTGCAGTAAAAGCAATTAACCGAGCCTTGACAGTATGTCCTCTTATCTCCCACCCAGTGCAGTCATGGTTTAGACAACTACATTACACAAGACCAGTGGCGGTCAGTGAGGAACACAAGCTACATGCAGGTAAGATTGCATCTGCCCATTTTGGCTTGTGCAGGGCAGGAGCCATAAAATTACTTTTGTAAGATTAAAGCAGGTCTTCAGCTGCAAGAATACTCTGCCCTTTGGAATTAGAAGGGTTTCTGCACTGATTATCTCTAATGATTGCATCTTCAGTCACAATGTTAGAAAAAACAAACAAACAAACCCCAAATATGTATAAAAGCCAGGGAGAGTAGAGCTATTACCATTTAGTCAGCTGTGATAAAATAAAGAGGTTCACCTCACACAGATGTTGCTCCCAACACAAGCGTATTGTTTTTTTGTTTTGTTTTGATGCTATAGAATTAGATTTACTATAGAAAATTCAAATTCTGCTCGGAAACAAACACTGTAAGTAATAAATATTGTTAGTGGAAATGGCAGACATTCGGTCTTCTGTTCATGTATTTAAACAAGCATCCTGCAGTGACTGTTTTGACCTTTCCAAAAAGCAAAGTGGTCATTAAAATTCAAATAAACTAATAACACTCAGACAGTTGTATTTTAAGGTCTTTAGAGACTTGCACAGTGATCAGACGGGTATTTGGACCATTTCTCTGGTCTCATAAATAGATCTTGGATGTCTAACCTGAACAACTCTATCCACATCATGCCACAGCATCGATTGGGTTAAGGTCACGATTCCTTGACTTGGCGATTCACAAGCATTCATTTTCTTCTTTTTCAACCTTTCATAGTTACAGTAATTGGTTTAATTGTTGTGTCAATTACTGGCCTGAGGTACCAAAGCAGTCCCAAACAATATATATGTTGTAATCTACAGATGTGAGGGCTATAGGTCTGTAGTCCATGAGTCTGTCTATATCAATCTTTTTGGGCATAGAAATGATAGCGGAGGCCTTGTGCTGTTTCTACTCTTGATAGGATTGGCTGTCCACCATTACACGAAGAGCACGATGCTCAGTACTAAAGAACTCAAAGGTAAAAGCTCAAAGCGCCCGCAGCAATCTCTTCACAATAAAGTCTCTGTGTATGTGTCCACTATAAGAAAAAGGAAAAGTGTTAAAGGAAGGTCACTACAAACAAAATTACTGCTCTCTAAATAAACATTTCAGTCTGATTCAACACTGCAAAACACTGACTGCTGAATGTCTTTTGAAATAACTTAATTTGAAAGAAAAAGGCAAAACACACCAAAATCCTAACTGTAAAGCATGGTGGCAGGGGCATCATGGCTTCGGCTGCCTTGCTACCTCAGGGGCTGGTCACATTGGGATTATGGAGGAAATTTAACAGAAAAGTGTCAAAGCTGTAGTTTATGACCTGAAGTGTGGGCAGCTTAGGTGATCAACAAGAAAACAACCCAAAGAAAAGAAATAAACCAAAAGAAAGGAACTGTTATCAAATGGTCAAGCACTGGCAGGTACTGACCTTCATTTTAATGAGCTGTTCGGACATGACCCGAAGAGTGTTTTTAAATCAAGATATCCCAGAAATCTTTGTCCTGTTTAACCTGCTCATCATCATACAGGAAACAGCTGATACAGGCTGCTGCAGCTAAAAGAGGCTTAACGTTTCACCAAGTTAAGAGTTGACTTCTTCCATCTGGGCTGTAAATAATCACTACTTGTCTGAAATGAAGACAAAAATACAACTGCTTGTTGGTTATTAGTCAAACTGAAAAACTTAAAACATCAAGTTTTCATTAATATCTCTATACCTACACAACGTTTATGCTCGAAAAGGAGTAGAATGAAGTTTTAACTTTAAACCCCCTTTTTTCAAATTCCATTATTTACTAATCAATATTCAATACTTATCCCAATGAACCAAAGCAGATACCCTTAGGCAAGGTTATGGACATGGATTCAGAGAGATGCAGGTTCCGAATTCTGCTTGCAGTGTGTCTAAAAGATGTGTGCATAGTATGTGGATTGTAATGTAGTGTCCCTGCAGATAAGCCTGTGGGGGTCACAAAAAGTTGGCAGGCAAACGAATTCTAGTCTACGCTGAGGCTATAGAACGCCTTTTAATAGTGACGTCTCAGACGAACAACAGTGGCTTTGAGCACAGTAGCCCCACCTGCTGTTCACACCTTCTATTTGCAAGCACCAGCCAAGCTTGAAGACAGGCTTTAAAGAGTGGTCTTAAAAGGGTCTTAAACATTGAAACGTTGCATTTCAAAGTGAATGAACTGAGAGGATGCATAAAAAGACAGTAGCAGAGTTGCTACTCTTGCAGAGTCCAAGAATCAGTGTATGGAGCTGATTATGGGCATACTAGGCCCCTTTAAGGCCATTAATAAGCATAATTGCATGGTAGTTTAATACTCTGAATGGACGACAAAACGCAGCTTCGAATGTTTGTCTTTAAAACTGAGCTGTAAATTGAGACGTTTTTGATTCAATTCAAAAGCACTTTAAGGGAAATCTTTAAAATAATTGTTTGTGTCCTGTATGTTTTAGACTGACAGCTCTCCACTGATGCACCTGACACCTTCTGCAGATTCACAAGGTGTGTTTGTTAATGAAACTGTGTCCTTATTTCATTAGAAGCACTGCAAGATACTTCCTCCATACAAAAACGTTCTTTCCCCAGAAATGTATTTATATTGTAAATATATGTTTGCAGTTTGCAGATGCAGTTCAGGAAACACAGGCTATATTAATCCAAATACTGCACTGATGTAGTTTTATTAATGTACTTTAGATGAGTACTTTTTTGCTTCCACTCCAGTACATTTTAATGAGAAATTATGTTTCAGTACATTTATTCAAAGGGACAATTATCAGTTACTTTCACTTAAAAAGTGAGAGTTCAGCAAATATGAGTCACCGCTGAGACTGAGCTACCCGACTGAAAAGGCTGTTAAAAATGACCTTCACCTAAAATGGTGAAATAAATACATGCTGTCTATGGATCAGTAATAATAATTACATAATTTAACTACATCTGCTGGAAATATTAATAGATGTTTAGCTGATTAATGTTAAATAAGAACTTAAGGGACTGTTTTTTACATCATTACTTAATGTACCGTATACTGCATACTGAATGTTTGAGTCTAATCCTAGTGTCCTAAAAATGTGTTTCCAGACTCTCCTCTCTGTATCAGGGAGGAACGGCATGACAGCAGTGACATCAGTTCTAAGCTTGCAAGTCTGAAGAAACTGTTGCCATCTCTGCTCTTGCATGCCCCTCCACCACCTCCTGTCCCACCGAGCATGCACAGACCAACATCAGCTTGTGGTAAGAAAATTTGCAATAAATCAAAACATCTCATGTTTTCCTGGTGTAACAGTTTTGTTGTTGCTATACTGACTTCTAACTCTAAAATGAATTACATTTAACACTTTTTGTCCTGCAAACAACAGATTTAATTCCCCTGCTTTTGGTTTTCTCCTTCAGGCATGTTCAGGCTTTCCCACGAGGCTCCTCCGCCTGCATCCCTGGACTGTGGGCCTTGCAGTAACAGCAGTACTAATTATGTCAACATCCCCGTTAGCCCTCTGCTGTATAAAACTAGAGAGCTACTTTACACAGAGCTGGAGCTGCAGAAACCCAGCTCGGCTCCGGCCTCCAGTCTGCACAGTGCTGAGAGAGGTAACTCAGTGCAGCTCTGCAGACTCAGTAAGAACATTGCACCTCAAACAGTTTTAGATAACTATTTATCTTTTCTTGCTGCTGCTTTCTTTTTTGGTTTTATATATGCCAAGTGAATAGCTTCAAATCCCATTTTGCGTGCAATATCTCCACTGTTATAATGCATGGCATGTTTGAGACGTTGTTAGAATATAGAATAGCAAGCAAAGCTGGGGCAAACAGCTATGAAACAGATGGTTGATTTGTTGATTATTCTCTGCATATCTATCATAACAATATGATAGGTATGATGGGGGTCACTGCACTTAGTGCTCTGATTACCACTGGGCTCTTCTTGAGCATCATTTAATGGTAAGCCACCACTATGGATGCCACAGGATGTCAGTTACTGCTTCTATCTGCCGGTTCATACTGGGCAGTATACTGTCCTTCCATGATGGTTATTTGGGGATCTTATGACAGCAATATCCATCTTTGGCCAGCTTATTATCACAGGCAGGTGTTCATAGCCCCCTTGTTGTTGTACCCGGTATAAGGTACTAGGTTGCAGCTTTCACCCAAGCGGGTGGGGGTGATGATATTCTCCCCCCAACCTGTCGTCTTGGCTCCCCCTTGCCGTAGCATGTGTGTTGTACCTTCAATCTCTAGCCTTCTTTCGAATGTTGGAAAGCTGAGCTACTAGTTTTTCTCTTGCCCACCTTACTTGACCCAGACATCCCTTACTGGAATCAAACTTGTGACTCCCGCTCAAAAGGTCGTCTTACCACTACACTATCACGCTGCACACACACATATATATGTATATATATATATGCATGAAAATGTGTTCTTGGATCAGCTCACACTGTTAGGAAAAACCTGATAAATACGTTCAATAAATGAGGAGGTGCAATTCTTTTTTATAGAAAACAGTCAATTTATTTCCCGGTGCTTCTGTGTAAACTAACTGAATTAACATAATCTGACGTATTTAGACTGTGAAAATGAAGCAATTTATTAGAGGGATGGAAAGCAATTTACATCAGTTAAAACCTAATAAAGTGAGAGCATTTCGATTACAGGTAATTTTATGGCTTTTTAATACACAGACGAAGTTAATGTGTTAAATGTGTATTTCAGAAATACCAACTAAAAATCAGTCTGAGGAGACAGAAGGGGCAGAGTGAGGGTATAATGCATCTCTGGGAGACTGGTCCAAGATTATATGACACACTGTAGCAAGACTTTTTTTTATTTTATTTTTTTTTATTAACCCCCTCCATCATTTTCTCATCCAGAAGAGGGCTCCATCAGGTACGCCCACCTGGACATCACTGCCATGGAAACAGCTCAGAGAGTGGGGGCGGAGCATGTTCTGGCCAGGGAGGACAGACTGACTCAGCTGGAGAGCAGGCGGCAAGGGCCACCAAACTGACTCTGGAACGCCCAACTGGATGACACTTCAGAATAGTTTTGACTGCAGATTCTCTCCAACTCTCTGGAAAAGCTGACGTACTCAAATGTGGTGGATTATCATACCGGTTATTTTGTACTTAATAACACACCCACAGTTGTGACATTGTAATGAAATTCCCACAGTCCATTCCACTAACGGTAAAGCTTTGGGAGCTTTCTTATGCAGCTTCTATTTTGTGTTAAGTGTTTTTCTCTTACTTGCTTTTAAACTAGCTTTTTCCTGCGTTTGTCTCGATACCTTTTATCACAGAAATGTTACATAGTTGTCTGCATGGCTTTTATGCAAGATGCAAAAAACTCAACCCCCCCCCCCCCCCCCCCCACACACACACACACACACTCAATGTCTTCTTCAACACAGACATGAAAGTCAAGCTAGTTTAAAACAAAATCATTAACAAGGTCTGTGGTTAAGCAGTAGTTGCAAATGATCTGCTGTGTTTTGGGATCCAGGAAAAGGCCTTAAAGGGGCGATTCCCCAAATTTAGTCATATTTTAAGTCCTTGTAGCATTTTTTGGATCCAGATTTGCCTTATAGGCAAAAATTTCTGGTTTGAGGAGGACACACAAACCCATCCTCAGGTGATCACAAGCGAGTGTACTCAGTGTCAGTCCCAGGTGTGGATTAAAGGGAGGGCTGGATAAGGAAGAGCATCCGGTATAAAATCTGTGCCACATCAAAAAGAGCGAATCCATCTGCTGTGGCAAGCCTTTGGGAATGAGCACGCAGCTGAATGTAACAGTCCTTTTATTATATGAGTCCTGGAACTTTATGATCACACCTTGTATATGCTGAGGATTGATGGAAACCTACCTTACCGATGCCAACCAGTAATCTCAAGACTACCAAGATTACTGGTTGAATGGCTTTAATTATAAGGGGATGGGCGTAAACTATTGTTTATCATCGCTATTGCGTATGGAAAACAAGAATAAATGACAGCTTTTTAAGCTGTAATATATTTACAGTTCTTGCTGGGTTGATTTTCTTCAAGCTTTGTGATCACCATATAATTTATGCTACCTCTTTTCTCAAGAGGTCACCGACTGCCATTGGGTTTGGATCAAAATAAGATTTCACAGTGAGATAAAGCCCATCTCATCTCATGCCTTACAATTGAATGCCAAGAGCCCCAACTTCCCTGGTGATCATTTCACCTCAAAGCGGAAAAGCATTCGATAAAAATAAGCAGCTTACAGTTATACCCAGGGTGCAAATTACATTAATCCAGGCCCATGTGGTCCAAGCAGGACATGACTAAGTAATCAGCCATCCAGAAACATTATTCATCACAGTAATCAATGCCTCTGCTTCTGGTCTGTGAGAGGCCAGGGACTGATGACTGGAAAAGCATAGTGTTTGTTTCAATTTCTCACCTCCCTCCTGATATCATCAGGACAAATTGTAAAATCATGGATGCAAATTTATTTTTATCATTTTGGTTCCCTACTAGTGTCTCTGAGGAGAAAGAAACAGCATGAGGATGACTCACGAAAATGTAACGTTTTGCAAAAATTATCCTTTAATGTCACTACAGAGACCGCTTTTCTCTACAGTGTATTAAGTGCTTTTATTCATGCCAAAGCATACGAATGTTGTAAATCTGTATTTTTAAAATATTACTGTATGTCTGTTGTTGGCACCTGTATCTTACTGAATATTAAAGATTGCCATTTTATTTTCAGATCACCAGTTTTCAGTGCTTCTACTCTTGATCTTCATTTTATATTGATCAGACAGTTCAAGTAACACCAAACTAAGTCGATAGGGAAACTATGAGGTCCTACAGTGGCAACAGCACATATGATGTAATGTGGACAAACAGACCAACTGCTTCTGGTCTGGTCAAGACAGCCAATAGTGCTGTCTATCCCTTATCTACCACCAACAATAAGACATTATTTCCACTTGTTATACAAATAACTGTTCTATGGAGTACCACACTGGTGCTCACACTTCTATATTTAATTTATCTGTACCTTGACTGACAGTCTGAGCTGCTTTATAATACTTCATACATATTACATACAAATAACCAGGAATTCACTCATTAAGCATTTCATTCTCTAGAAAAGTAGAAAAAGACTCACAGAAAACACTGATTTTTTTTTCTTAACAGCAGTTAAAAAAAGAAATGGTGGTATGGTTGATCAAGGTTGTGTGTGACTAAACAAAAACATTACAGTTCTTTCACTGGTGTGATGACCTCTCAGAGTTCGTTGTGTTGGAGTCCCTGGCGAGAAATCTTGTTGGACAAATCCTGCATATGTTTCTTCATCTGAAATCAAACACACACACACACGCCATTTAAATGCAAGACCACTATGCAGCTAAACAGGGGCTTGTCAACACAAATGATTATTAGTTTACTTCCTATGAAAACAATAGTTTGCTTGTTTTCATAGTAAATTGTAATTCTGTTCACATTTCAAGCTCAAGTTGCAGGGAGTGAAAACTGGAAAGCCATTTGTCTTGATTTTATTTATGCATTTATGTTACTGTATTGGCAATGTTTGTTATATGCATCTGGTCTTACACTGGACTTTCAGCACATGTTAATACATACACTTCACTTAGATAAGTGTGGATGGCTTTGAGATGGTTATAAACTTTGAAGCGCAAACAAAAAGCTGTGAAAATAAAAAGCCACTTAACACTGGGATTACTGCAGTCCTCCAACAACCAGACCTTTCCAGCCTTACAAGCAATTACCAAATACTACATATAATTTATTATTCATTTCTAATGCAGGTGAGAAGTCAAACAGCATATTAAATGCTAAGAGAACCTCTTTATTCTTACTTACCTTGTAGCCCATCTCCCTAGTCTTCTCAGCGAGTGTGTCATACTTTTCCTTGTTCCTCTTGATGTGCTCTTTGTCTCCTAGAGCCTCCACATGCTGCAACTTCTGATGGGACAACTCCAGCTGCTCCTTGTAATGACTGTGCTTCTCTACTTTAGTCTCAAAGTGACGTAGCTCCTCCTAAATGAATAAGAGCAGCCAACATAGAGGGGTGTAAGTTCAGTTAACCTTCAGTTACATGCACAGCTGAACAAGTAGCTTATATGTATCTCAAGAGGCAAATAGAAGCGAAGTGCCACAGAGGAAATTCAAGCTGAATGTTTCCTGTGATAGATTTGATCCTGAAACCTGATAGAAACCCCAAAACATTTAAATTGAGTTGTTCACTGCAATCTGCTGCCCAAGGGGACAAACGGTGAAAGGAGCACAACGAGATCCAGGAGAGTGGAATACTTGTGAATTTCAAAAGTGCAATACATAAAAATGTGATCATAATAAGTTGCACTTTCCATGGCTTACAGTACACAAGTAGTACTTAGCTACTAAGTAGAGGAAAATAATACAGTTAATGCTTCTGTGCCAGAAGAGCGCTTGATTAAAAAGTTTTGTGGAGTTGGAGTCAAAGTTAGATTGTAGCACCACATTAAAACAAAAAGTGTCATTTAGGAACAGACAGGGCAAGAGCGTGTCCAAAACATAAAAACAGTCACAAGAGATGTAAGCACTACCTTGAGAGACTCTAGCTCATCGTTGCTGAGGTTGGTTCTCTTGGCAGCCTCCCACAGTTCAATCACACGCGGCTCCCGAAACTCTACAGACCAGGAAGGGAAAGGCAGATGAAAAGATAAACAATCCAAAGAGACGTTTTGGAGCCACAAACACTCAAGAGAAAGGGAGCTCTGAGGAGGAGCAGTCGCAGCAGATATTTCATATCATGCAATCACAACAACGTATCACTTTATAGAAATACACACAAAATATGAAAGAGGCAAAATGCTCGCATTAAGAATTTAATCTTGAGGTGCTGTCACACACTCTCTCTTCGCTCCTGAAGTACTACAAAACTGCAAGTGTAAAAGAAAAAAAAAAAAAAAAAAAGAGGGAAGGGGATCAAAAACAGATTTCTGCAAGAGGAAGCAAAGACGTGAGGGGAACGAGTGGTTTAGTAAGAAACAACCTGGAGGTAAAGGCGCAGCAACAAAATCATTATGAATCAGCAGAAGGTACAATGCCTTCATCTAAACTTCTCAACAACCTCCCGCTGAAACCTGCACCTGCAAGTGAAGCCTAACACAAACTGCAGCACACTCAACTAACAGCAGCCTTGCATATCTGAGGAGTGGAGATAAAATGCACTGGTGAGTGAAATGTTTCGTCTGTTAAACAGCACAAAGCCGAGCTGTTTGACGTCACTGGGCGAATGCAGCGTAGTGAGCTGCTTTCAATGAACGTCTTTAAAAATGCAAAACACTTAAAGCCATCAGCCGTGATACAGTAATGTGTTATTATGATTACAACTCCCAGTAATTAAGCTGATGAGATAAATGTAGCGTCTAATGGAGATGCAAAAAGAGACAAGCGGGGAGTGTGTGTGCTTTTCATGTCTCACCGCTATCTTCACTGAAGCCCTCGTGGCTGAGCTTACGGAGGCGCTCAAAGCCCTGGTTGAGGTCTCTCATTTTGTGCTTCAGCTCTGTGTGCTTCTGCTGCAGCACGTGCTCTTTGGTATCACCCTCCAGGGGAGAGATCACGTTCTTGTGTATTTCTGTTGAGAGGAACAGATGAAAGGAAATAAAGGGGAGAAGAGGGAGAGAGGGGGCAAATTAGAAGTGAAAAGCCCGCAGGGTAGTGTGGGTGGGTTAGATAGGAGTGAGGGCAGAGGAGATGGATGGAGAAAATGAGGGATGGATGACAGAAGGGAATAGGAAAGAGACAAAAAGTAAATTAAACTAATAAAAGACAAAAAGAAAGGCAGTTTTTATTAGCAGCTTTTTACATTATTACATTAAATAACCCGTTAAAGATTAAGGTCATTTTAGAAAACTGGCTTATTTGTCATTTATTTAGCAACTTTTTCAGGAGAACCTTGAACAGCCTGTGTGGTGCTAGAAAAAGGTAAAAGCCAAACAAAGCCTAAGTGTACAGCACCACAATGACTAAATGATAACGGTTGACATTTGGATGAGAAAAGGGGGAGAAAAAAAGAAGAGAAGCCAAACTGGATGAAAACTGAGGAACCTAGACAGGCAGTGGATGGAGGTGGAGGTACTGTGGAAGTTCACAGACAATCCCTCAAGGCAACATGTGATTGGCTTAATATTTAAAAGCATCAGACAAGCAGAAGAAATACCCCCGGCTTGTATGGCAAAAACGCAGCGCTGTGCAGCGCTATCGGGAAAGTTCTGGCACGTAACAGCTGCAAAGTGTCAAGTCACATCCGAAGAAGACGTGCCTGTCCTCCCCGTGCCTACTTGAAACACAGTGGGGCCTGTCAGCTCCTCTTAAAACTCACAGCTTGATGTGATTTGACAAGCACTGATAGAGCACAAAGTAGTGGGTGGTAACATGTGCAGTCTGATACCTGCCACCTACGTATATGACCACAAGACTGAGCAGACAGACAGAGAGCACTTCAGACTTCAACCCTATAAAACACGGGTGTGCAGAACAGCCATGGCATCTAGAAAATATTACTTTATAACCTCGTAAGCCTTATTTCTTACATTTCTTACATTTACTCCGCTTTATGTTTTTTAAAATGATTCTGATATGATCACAAACACCAGCTAGGTCTGCAGAGAAAAAAAAAATAGCAGTAAATGGCATAAAAGGGTCAATAAGAGCTGCTAAGATAGAAAGGGATATTCTGCAGGAGATCTCTTGAATAGACGAAGGACGAAGCAACAGAAAGGAGGACTGGGTTGAACTGCTTTTAAACCTGGCCTCAGAAAACACTAATAAAGCTAAACAGAAGTAGTGCGACACACGCGCCTGCAGCGGATCAAAGGGAGTGATTCACATGGCTCACCCTCAGTCCTGCTGACGGTGTCCATGAGGATGTTGTACTCGTGGATCTTGTCCTTGTGGTGCTGGAACTCCCTCTTCAAGTTCAGCAGCTCCTCATCAGAGAACTTCCCCGAGATCTTAGCCTGGTGGGGGAAGAGGCATTAGAGATATAGTTAGTTTCAAAGGCATCAGAAGAACGAGGATCTTTTGCATGGGAAAGAATTTACTATTACAAGTAGTAGTAAAAGAATCAACGCTTAGTACAGCAGGACTGTTTGGTAAGAGTCTGAGAAGGTTTAGGCTTATTAAGTGTAGTGATTTTAATGATTACATTTACATGAATATTTTAAAGCCAATCAACTATATTGGACATATAAAAATAGTCAGAGATTGCTCATTTTCACACAAAGACTTTAGAAAATTGGGGAGTTGGGGTCTACGGTGTGAATGCTGGGGTGGAAGAGAAGCTGAAACAGTGATGCAAGGCAGCAATCAGCACTTGCATTAGTTTTGTCAGTGTGTGATGCAGCTCGAATTTCCTGCTTGAACTAGCTCACGCTGCTCCCTTTGTGACTGGTTGGCCATTAAACAAGTTTAGATCTTACAGATTTGATGTAATTTGATCAATGAGTCTTGAAGTTCTGATTAGACTGAATGTATCTGTTGACTGTGTATGGAAGAATGTGGCAAAAATGTATTTGTCACGCAGTAGTGGATTTGCTGTGTTCAGTGAAAATGATGAAATCAGAGACTCACTAAACATTTTACAAGCTTTTTACCTTGTAAAGTGTTTAGTTCTCTTGTTCTTTGTTTCTTGGAAGCCGAGTGGCACTAAGCTGATCTGAAGTTCATGTCCATAAGTTTTTATTTTTACTGGCTGTGATAAGGTTTTTAAAGAGGAACAGCAACAGGGTTGGCATTGAAGTCTTACAGTTACACTACAAACAATGCAAGCATTAAATCAAAGCACCTTACATAAAGCAATACTTCATCATTTTCAGAATTATGCACACAAACACAAACCTTGTTCCAGAGTTTGTCCAGTCTGGGATCCTCAAATGCATCTTCCTCCTTGATGTCGTGATCTTTCAGTGAGTTGCTCTCCAGTGGCCGTGTGTCCCTTTTCCCATCCATCCCATACTTGGCGAGGATCACTGCATAACACAACCACAAGACTTTAAACAAACGCTGTGTTGAATTATCCTGACATGAGCCTCTAAGGAACAACAACAGAGGCTGTATCTTGGGAGGAAGCGGGAGATAGGCAAGAGAATCTAAAGTGACTAAGACATGCATATTAATCATTTAACAAGACTCTAAACCCCTTGACAGTAACTCATAAATTTCAAAGGAAACATCAAGGGGAGTAGGATCCCTAATGAAGGTAAAGAAGAAGTAGAGCCAGACCAATATTTTAGTCAGTCGATGTCGGACTATAGATATATTTTTAGTGGTTATTTTATTTTCCTGGGGCCTTTCTGTGTGGAGTCCAGCTTCTTCCCACAATCCAAAGACATGCAGTTAGTAAGGTTAAGTTAACTGGTAATTCTAAATTGTCCATAGGTTTGAATGTGAGTGTGAATGGTTGTCTCTCTCTGTGTTAGCCCTGTGACAAGACTGGGAACCTGTCCAGGTGTGTACCCTGCCTCTCGCCCTATGGTAGCAGCGATAGGCTCCAGCTCCCCCGTGACCCTGACAAGGATAAGTGGAAGAGAATGGAATATGCATTTGTTGTCTAATATAAGCATATACTCTTTTCTTCCCCTGAAGAAAAGCAAAAAAGATGCTTGGTGTAATTTAAAAACTTTGTAATCACATAGTTGCTGCTGACTTAATGCATCACTGCACGTAATTTTCTCCCAAATGCGAAATTAATCACTTTCCACTAGCTTCATCCAGTTATGAGTTTGTCATAGTTTCTATCATATATCAGCCAAATCTACATAAACTGTGACTTAGCAGCAAAACACAGTCAGATGTTACCCTGACTGACATATGATGACAGCCATCTCTGCTTTCTTTATAGCAACTAAATACCAGCCAAACAATAACTTGGTCACCCTACTGAGTCAAAGACCTCTGGGAAATCATTTTGGGCCAGTAAGAATAAGTCTGTGCCTAAGTTAATATGGAAAAAGTGAGCAGTAAGTTCTGATCTATTATAAAGCTATAGCTCTTTGGGGGCAGGGGTGGGACATGGTAAATGGACTGGTTCTTATATAGCACCTTTCTACTCTGAGCTCTCAAGGCCACTTGTCTCACTCACCCATTCACACAAGCACTTTCTTCTATGTAAGTGCTTTCTATCTAACATTCACACGCATTCATACTCGGGTGGATGCACTGGAGAGCAACTTGGGGTTAGTATGTTGCCCAGTGATATTTGGCATGCAGACTGGAGCAGATGGTGATCAAACAAACTTCTGATTAGTAGGTAACCTGCTCTGAGTGAGCTACAGCCACCCTGGACAAAGGCCAACTTCATTGGATTTATAGGTTTCCTTTCAGGATTGTTTGAGTGCCCATGTCTGCTGTATTATATTATATTTCTGTCTCTATAGCACATGATAAGTAGGGGTGCAACAATACACAAAATTCTCGGTTCGGTTCGATACTTTGGTGTCACGGTTTGATATTTTTTCGATACAAAAAAAAATGTTCATGCCTTTTTAATTTGTCATTTATTAAATTTTCACGGCACATTCCGCACCACATCTCTGTGCGTTCATCATTTGTTTGAAGCCAGCTCACCTCCTGCAACTACTTTTCCGAGAATACGTGCTTCTTTTGTGGTTCGGACTCCTTGACATTTCTTTGGAGGTGGAAGAACATCACAGTAATTGCTTAAAGGAGCTTCTTCGACTTCTTTAAGAGTTCTAAACAAATGTCTGTCCTCCTTCTGAAAATCTTATGTATGTAAACACGCGTTGCAACTTCTTATCTTGTGCTTTTTTATTTTGACAGCGAATGCGCACCTGCGGACCACTTATGTGCAGCCCTGGTTATTTCGCTTGTCATATTGCAGCCACAGAAATTCTTTTGTCCATGAAACCATAAAGCTGCACTTTCTTTTTGCCTTATAGTCTGATTTGTCATAACTTTTCCGTTTTGTGGTAAGCTTTTCTTTGGCTGTCACTTCTTCACCCTGACCTGTCTTATTTGGCTCAGCAGAACTAAAATATTGTGGCGAGCTCAGACAAGGAGGAGACGGAGGTATCGTTTGGTCTTGCTTCCCGTGAGCTAGCCAGGGAGCACAGCCGTTTGTTGACATCTGCAGAAGAACATTGCCGCTAGCTAACTGCTCAGCGCGGCAACAGCACAGCAACAACAACAACGCCACACAGGGCGTGTCACTACCCGATCCGTACCGGAAACCCGATCGGTACCCCGCATGCGCAAATCTTACGTCACTTCCTCTCTTTGCGACATTCAATATATTTGAATGATGCGGTTAGCGCCCAGTTAGCTCCTAGCATTTCTCAACAGCTCTGCCTCCTTTTCGACTGCCCGGGACATTTAAACAATGGATAATCCGTATACAAAGAAATTCATGCTTTTCTCCTCAACAGAGAGCGTCCCCCGATTGAGCAACAGCGCCGTAAAATAAGAAGAATGGCGCCTAATTACAGAGTTAATAATGCAGACTTTGTAATATCTCACGTGTAGATTCATCAGCCAGATGAAGTGTTTACTGACAATTGACAGTGATGGCGCACATCATCATCACTATTCCAACAATCCTCTCCTCACAGACAAGCATAAACACACTCGACTATCGCTAAATCAGATTTAACACACGTTTGTAATGACGATAATTCAGTTTATAATAGGGTTTATTCGCTCGGTCAGCAGGTGGCGGTATCCTCGTACACTGGGGAGTAAACTGCCATTAAACGAACAGAAGAAGAAGAAAACATCTGCACATGCGCGGTACGGATCGGGTAGACCCGATTTGTACCACTACCCGATCCGTACCGGAAACCCGATCGGTACCCCGCATGCGCAAATCTTACGTCACTTCCTCTCTTTGCGACATTCAATATATTTGAATGATGCGGTTAGCGCCCAGTTAGCTCCTAGCATTTCTCAACAGCTCTGCCTCCTTTTCGACTGCCCGGGACATTTAAACAATGGATAATCCGTATACAAAGAAATTCATGCTTTTCTCCTCAACAGAGAGCGTCCCCCGATTGAGCAACAGCGCCGTAAAATAAGAAGAATGGCGCCTAATTACAGAGTTAATAATGCAGACTTTGTAATATCTCACGTGTAGATTCATCAGCCAGATGAAGTGTTTACTGACAATTGACAGTGATGGCGCACATCATCATCACTATTCCAACAATCCTCTCCTCACAGACAAGCATAAACACACTCGACTATCGCTAAATCAGATTTAACACACGTTTGTAATCAGATTTAACAGACTATCGCTAAATCAGATTTAACACACGTTTGTAATGACGATAATTCAGTTTATAATAGGGTTTATTCGCTCGGTCAGCAGGTGGCGGTATCCTCGTACACTGGGGAGTAAACTGCCATTAAACGAACAGAAGAAGAAGAAAACATCTGCACATGCGCGGTACGGATCGGGTAGACCCGATTTGTACGGTCAGACTTTACACATGCGCAGTAAGGATCGGAGAGTCCTGATCCGTAACTTTCTTTTTATTTTTCGTTTTTGTCTACATTGTACTGAAATGCTTCATTATTGCAAACATTTTAAGATATACTTGTTATTCTTAACAGATACTCTGACCCATAACTATCGTAAAACGCTACGACCGGAAGTAGAAACCTTTCGCGCATGCGGGGTACCGATCGGGTTTCCGGTACGGATCGGGTAGTGACAGTCCGTGTTGCAGGGACTGCGGGGTCAGCTGATTAATTTTTTTTCTCTTCAAAATATTAATGTCATTATTTGCAACATGTTGAGAAACTTGTTAATTCTTAATACTTAACAGTACTCTGACCTACTATGTAAACGCCTACACGGAGTTTGACCTTTCGCGCATCGCAACGTACGATCGGCGTTTCGGTAAAGGACTCCGAGCAGTAGTGACAGGCCCCCTCTGAACACACCGTCGCAGTGACGAGCCACCAGCCATTGCAATAAACACCAAACATACACTGTACAACCCAGCTAATCCCTACCGCCTAACATAGCCCACAACCTAAGGTCACTTGTCATGTTTGCATAGTAAGCTAACGATTAATAAATGTCAGAGGAATTGGTGCGCAAATTATCATCACTCACCAATCAGTGCTGTCGCTCTCTATACACAGTTCGCGATTGCAAAGTGAAAGCAAAAAACAAGCGCAAATTCAAACGCGATTTCAATATGTCACATATTGACAGTGGCTCACCGATGCCAATGACATAATTACCCAGCTACATTTCCGAAAGAATGCAAAAGCATTGACATATATTTTTCCTTCCTACAATAGCCCGACGGGCAGGGCAGAGATAGATTTTGGTAGCCCGACTGGAAAAATCGCTAGCCCCGGGACGTCGGGCTAGCGATTTTGCAAGCCCTGTATCTGATTGAGGAATCACTCATCTTTGGAAAAGAGAGTTTATTACAGAGAAATGTCTCTTTCCAAAATAAAAGCTATACTATCGCTTCTTCTGGGCTATATTCTCAGCAGCATATTAAACATATCAGGTCCCCATAAGGAGAATCCTGTGCTAACGGCTGTCTAAATGACTCGGGTAAAGTTTGTAGCATGCGTGCTTGTTGTTTTTGTCTGCTTCCACTTGTCTTTGCACTAGGATGATGTCGGAGTAAATGTGCAGTCATATTCGTTGTGTTCCCACTAGTGCTGTCAGCGTTAATCTGAAATGACGTTAACGCCACAACACGGCAAATCTCCGTTAACGAGCTACCGCGGATCGCCCCGTGCGTGGGGCTGGACGGCCAACACGTTAACGAGCTAACTGCGCTAACACACTAGTTCCCACCCATGTAATTGAGCATTGCGTGGCACATCCAACATACTGTTTTACTTTAGTCCATGACGCTTACCTTCAGGGTCATACGTCACATGAAAACCAAAATAGTTCCAAACGCCAGATCTGAATGAGGGTGGGGGAGGTTCAATTTGCCATGTTGCAAGGGTAACTTCTGTCTCGCTAGCTTGCCCTGCACTCAGTGAATCTGCGTTTGACTACTCCGCCTAGGCTGCACTATCGAGCGCAGATCCACTGAGCGCTCAACACAGACAGCATCGTCAGAAGGAAAGTTGATAAAATAAATTAAACATTTATTTTGTATTCCATACATATGCGTACGGAACCGAAAGCACTGTATCGAACGGTTCAATATCGATACGAGTATCGTTGCACCCCTAATGATAAGGCTGCCAATGGCTTTTAAAAACAACCTAGAATTAATATTTTTTCAAGACATTAAGTAGTATTTGTCAATTAATTAATTTAGTAGCAGTGGCATAGTGAACAACCCCACAATTTTGCAGAATGTCTACATCATAAAGTGAATAATACAAGAGATAATAATAATAATAATAATAATAATAATAATAATAATCACATTCAAAAACCTTCAGGAAAGATAACTATTATTATTGGCAAATAAAAAGGTAAATATTTGTCAGTGACTGTTGACCTGTCCAGGGTGTACCAGCCACGCTCCAGTTATTCTGTGATCCTGAACTGAATAAGTGGTCAAAAAAAAATTGATGAATTTGGCAAATTGAAAAACAAAGCATATAAAGATGGACTTGAGACTGAGAAATCTCTGCTCTCATTATTCTCCAGTAAACGTTTATTGTAGGTGCTGATTCAGCACCATCACAGCATTTTTGCAAATCACCAGTGTCATTTATTAACTTCAATAAGTGTGTTTACATATACAGCATGCTAGTTTAAAATCTTCATTAAGACCGTAGAAAATCTCTGTGGTGCTGGAGGAGTTAAACAGTTTACATTGCACACTTTCATCGTTGTGTGTTTACGTTCTCCGACTGACCGGTGTGAGGAGTGTCTTTTGACATATAAAATACATCAAGAACAAGCGCAGAGGAAATGAAGGTAATGAGGGAGACAAAATGACTGTGAAGCTCAATTAGAATGAGTTAAGGAGAAGGACAGGATTCAGCATGGAAAATATGACTCGACGTGCTCCTTAAAAGATTTATATTTAGCCAGCTAAAGGAGGGACTGTGTTGCTCTGCCTGTAGCAGGAAGGTCACTGCACCACAGGGGAGCGAGGAAGGAGAGGAACCAGAGCAGGTGGACTGCTGGCCGAGCTCTCACAAGGAATAAAGGGAGATACAGTATGCCTGTCCTTTAAAATCATACAATAGCACCTCAGTCTAAACACTGCTAAATACTACATAAAGAATATCTCAAATGTAATTCAAAATACAGAAATATCTTTTTACCCACAGCCTGAATAGCACATAAAATAAAATTGGTATGCTTTTAGTAAGTCATCTGCCAGGTGACAAGTGAACAGATTAAGTGAGATATGAAGAGTGCTACTGATAACAGCAGGAAGGAGCAGTGGGGGAATCACTACCACAGGTTAGAAGTATGACCTTCAGAGTTTATTTTAAATGACAAACCAGTACATCAGAATGTTTACTCCGGTTAAACTTTTACGTTTATGGTCAAGTATGTGATCCTTAAACTTTGCCATGTTTAGCACATATACTATAAAAAGTACATGTACTTAATCTATCATTAAACATTTTCTTTGTCTTTGTTCGATTGACATCTACAGTATATGCCTTGACTAAATTAGACCTACCTAAACCACCTGTCTTAACATGTCTCTTTTTAGCACTGGGTTTAAATGACATTGAAATTCAGAAAGTTTGTAAAAGTTAGATTCAAGATTATTATTTTTTCTTACACCACTAGCAAAGCAATTTAGGACCCGTTTCATGTCTACAGTGGCAAGTAAAATGGAGGATCTCAGACAGTTTTACAAGATAAATCTTCTGTAAAGTCTTTTGTTTGTGTTTTTGCATGAGAGGATTTAGTTTTATTATTTTCCAAGGTTTAAAACAAAAACTAAAAATGCTGTTCCCAAGCCAGGTGTCATTAACCTTCTGCTTTCCCATATTAGACAAAAAGAAAATTAAAAGGAATAACTTTAAATCCATTAACTCTAAAAATATCTGTCTTTTTGATGAGAGAAGATGGCTCTTACCAACGCATTGTGACCCACTGATTAGAGAGGCAAGATAAGATGCTGAAGATGGAACTACTATGCAGGAGAGAAGGAGGCAGATCACAGAGGGGGTTCATAAATGTAATTGAAGAGGACATACAGAGGGTTGCAGTGGCAGAGAGGATGGAAGATGATGCTAGGGATAGGCTAGATGATCTGCTGTGGTGGCCCCTAAAGGAAGCAGTGAAAGGAGAGGAAGAAGAAGAAATCCTGTGATACTCTCTGTTCCTGTTTTTTTGTTGGCTTTAGTGACTACCAGTGTGTTAGGATACGTTGCAGTCATTATTACTAATCAAACCCATAAAAAATGTCAGTACAGGGATTGTTAAAGATGGTGATTAAGGATCTAGAGGAAACTGACTCAGGACAAAGCTCTAACTACTGCTGATTGAAGCAGTCTGCAGTTTGTCTTACCATGGAAGTTGCGCCTGAGCTGGGCCTCCTTCTCCCCATTTTCATCGAATCCCTCCACCTTCATTTTTTTCCACTGCAGCTCATCTTTCTCCTGGATCTTCAGGTCACTGTGCAGCTCAGCCTGTCGGACTGGAGACAACTGCATCTGTTAAATCCAAAAGAGTAGAAAATGTTGGCTTTATTAGACAGGCAGAGGGAGAAAGTTTGCAGAAACAGAAAAGTACACAGAGAGATTTTTTTTTCTCCATAATCCTACTGGAGAATTTTGCTCACAATAACAGTCTATTAAATATTGACCAAAGGTCTGATGAGGCAGCTGAAGAGGCAGTTAAATGCTAAATGATGCTCACTGGGATTAGCCGCAGTAAAACGCATTTTTCAACAATTTTCCAATACCAAGCTTGGCCCACCGTCTTAGCTGTAAGTACCAACTTCACAATGAACAAAAGACGCCTGATTTTTTTTTCCAACTAAGGAAACGTCCACCTGATCCCCTGGGTCTGTGCATAGCTCAGTACGTCGATCACGTATGTATCTCTTATTGCCCTGTCTTCATTGTTTCATCATTTTCCTCAAATTATTTGTGCTACATGAGTCCTGCTGTTGATCGTCTTAAATACATACCCTTTGAGCTTTCTCCCAGACCTGGTTTAGCTTAGCTATCCTGAACTCCACTGCCTGCCCATCTTTGTCGTTCGGTTTGGGCTCATTCAGCTCCCGGGAGTATTTCCCGGCCATTACACCAACGCCGAGACACAAAGCTGCGAACAAACACTGCAGCCTCATTTTCAAAACAACTCTGCGCAACTAACGACAGAAAAAACACCACCAAAATACTTAAATGAACCACACAGCACCACAAACGGGGTATTGTTGTGATTCACTGGAGTACCGAAAGTCATATGCTCAAAAGAGGCGGGCATTTCCGCGAGAAGTGCACTGTGGGATATGTATTTTCTTGGCGCAGCCTTTCTGTAGCTACTAAAGCGGAAAGAGCGTTCCTTGAACTACACTGGAAATGCCGCTCTGCGCTGTTACCTAGCAACAAGGCTGCAGACTCCGACAGCAAATAGAAAGCCTCCACGCGTTTACTGTACTAGATGCTGTCTCTATTTTCAAGTACCCGTTGAAAAGACCAAGTAACTTTAAAACACTGGGATGACGGAAACACCGCTTTCTTAAAGGAGATACCAAAGAAGATACCTGACTATAACAGTCATCTAGTTAACTGGATGCGAAGTTTTTCTAAAAGAAAACGAAAATAATTTGATATCCATTATCCATTATCCATTATCCATTATTATTATTATTATTATTATTATTATTATTATGGGATACTGTGTAAAATATAAGTAAAAACAAAAAGCAATGATTTGCAAATCTCATAAGCCCATATGTTATTCACAAAACTACACAGAAAACATATAAAATGCATAAGCTGAAAAACGTTTTTTCAGCTTAAAATGAAAAATGTTCTCATTTGTTGTTGGTACCTACAGCTAAGAAGGTGGGCCATTAGTTAACACTTCAATAAAAATGTTAACTAATGTTAAACTTGATGGCAGCAACCTGTTTTACTACTTGTGTAGCATCGCCTCTTCTTTTAACTACATTCTCTAAGCATCAGTCCTGGGTACTTTTTGTGTTTAATGATACAGCAAATGTTTTCAGTTGGTGAAAGAACTGAACTGCACACAGGCCAGTTTAGCATTGAAAGGCTACCTAAAGATTTGACTTTTTGTTTTATTACAATAAAAGATAAAACATTTACAAAAATCAAGCCTTCACATGAGTGACACCACCTATTAACACGGTGTGGTAGAAAAGAAAGATAATATAATATAAAACCCATAAAAATAAGCCAGCAAACAAACAGAAACCCTGCAAATCAAACCAGAACAAACAAACAAACCAAAACAGGCAAACAGATAAAAAACTAAAAACTGTGTGATCCTTCAAAATTGATCTAAATGCCAAAAAATATATAAGGAGAAAAGCTTTTATTGTTTGAAATCACTGAGAAACAGAAGAAAACTACTTTTACAGTTTGGGTCAGTGGTCAGTTACCTTATAAGTTTAAAGGAGTTAAAACACACACACACACACACACACACACACACACACACACACACACACACACACACACACA